ACCAATGTATTTTTGAGTTAGCCGTGAAACAGCATCTCTCAGAAGATCCCCTGTGTCTGTCAGTGTGCGGAGTTGTAAGAGGCCACTTACAAGTGATACCACTATGTTTGTCTTCAAATTCTCTTTATGTGAAAACCAGTTCTTTATTTGAACATCAGTGAGGTATATGGAGGAGGACCGGTGCTGCGCATTGCTCTCGCTGCTGCCAGTCCCAGGTGATTTGCTTTCAGCAGGTGTAGGGCAAGTGCAGCCCCTGTGCTTAGATGAGCAGCTGATTAGTTTGAACTGAATGATGTGGGCTGGGAGGTAGGGACAAGGGACCTGGAGGTAAATGCTCTGATGCTGTTCGCCTGCTCCTGTTCGAGTGGGGGCTGCCACATTGTTTGTATGAGACTGCCTTGACTCCTGTGAAGAACAGGATCCCTGATTTCCGGTGGCAACACTAATTAATAATTTAAATCCTTCATCTCTCTTGAAACTCTTTGATCTTCTGTTTTTCAGCCCTAATAAACATCAGCATTATGAAGTGTCTTTAATCCACTGGCTGCTTCTAAAACAAGATAATTTTTGTTTAGGATGGAGGTTAAAAGATGGTGGGAGTCAAAAAGAGAAATTGAGAGGCCGTGTTAGGCCCTTGAGTATTTGCACTGTAAGGCTTTAGTGGGACTGTAAGTGGGTTTTGTAAACTACAAACGTAAGTACTTTTCAGTAAGGGAAATATAATATAAACCATGTTTGCACTGAACTGTCTTTTATGATAATGATATAAAGAAGTGTTTCCCGCAATGTGGAATTAGTTACTCGTTGGTAGAATAATCAGAGGTGACTAAACCTACAGTGAACTTGCCTCTGTCAGGTTTCTTCAAAGGAAAATTCTGGCAGAGCCTGGTTTCATTAGGCCACCATGGTCTGTTTGGGGTTTTAGATGTCTGTTTGTGATATTAATATCACTACAGAGTAGATCCAATTAGATATTCTCAGGGTTTGATCATCAAACTTTGAGCTTTTTGTGTAAATGAACATTTAACAATTGAGAGTTACTTTTTTTCGTAGGAATTATTTTCTTGAAATGTCTATCACAAATAAGAGCATCGCCCCAGTACCATCTACTGATTTTTCTTTGCAGAAATGTTCCCAAGCTTAGCACTTGCTCGAGTTACAAACTCAGCCTTAACTCCAGCCAGTGGTAAAACTCTATGTTAAATAAACAGATTGAAATCAGAGTGGCAGATTTTACGTTAATTGGCTGTTTTAAATGTGTTATATTTAGAACATTTATTGTATCTAAATATAACTGAAGAACTTGAGAAAATAGTGTTATTGTACCCCTTTGTTCTCTATGTGGCATCATCGGCATTATCCCCAGTGAAGCCAATTAAGTCATCAGTTACTTTATATTCATCAGTATTATATGTTGTTAATGATGCATTTGAGCATTAAATAATTTCTAATCTTCTCTACTTTCTCATAAATGGTCATTTTTATAAATTCATTTATTTTGGTAATGCTGATATGTGCTGTTTTAGAAAAGGCAGAATGACACATTATATTAGCATTTTTTGTAATATCTGGCTCATTTGTATTTTTTATAATATAAAAACTTTTACTGTATGCCACATAAACCAATTTGGACTCATTTTACTTTTGCCTACATTGCATATAAAATCTGAAATTTATTAGAAGAGATTGTGTAACATTAAAAGGCTGAATTTCTATAAATTGGAAAACTGTCCATCAGCTGCTGGTGATTTGCCTAAGGTAAAGTAACTTTGTGTGATAATTAGAGAGGCTTCAGGACTTCTGTCCTTTCTCTGAAGACACTTGGATGAGGGAGAGAAAGAGACAGTGAATTCGTTTAGGAAGGAGGATGACTTTTAAGTTAGAAAATAGGAATTTTATAATCGATATTGTCCTTAATGGAAACTAATGAGGTAGTTGACAGGATGGACATAAGATGATAAGACAGGTGAAATCCTTGACCTAGTTAAGTGTATTGTTTTGAGAAGGTGTGAAATTGTTTACTTTGGACAGTGAGCAAGAGATGGTTTGATGAATCCTAGATGTTAAAAGGGATTGCCTTTTCACTGTCTAAAAGGCTGTCTGCCTGTCAGTTTTTATACTTGTATTTTAAAATAATGAAAATACTGTGCATGCTTTGAAAGTTGTGGAAGACAAATGTGAAGTAATATCTGGGAAGAATTCTGCTAACCTTATCTGATCACTACTGAAGACTGCAAAGACAAGTTCTGATCGGTTGCAGAGGTAATTTTCTCTAGGTCTCTCTTTTTCAATGTTGCTTCTAAGGAAATCGCCACATTATTTTGGCACGCCATCACAAGATTCAGGACATAATTTGATGATATAGCTGGCTTGATCCTGTGGCCCATTGCTTCCCAAGAGGTGGTCTTGGTTCTCCTTCTCATATATTTTCTAGTGGTTTTTGCTTTTGAAATTAGAAAGATGCCTTTATAATTTTTTAAAATATGATTTAGTTATTTTGGAAAGGCAGCCTTCTCCTATTTGAGCTGCCTAAGCTGTGTCACCGTAGGGTCTAGCAGGGATGAGAGCTAAGACAATGGCAGGAGTGTGTGCCAGGGATTTAGCAGGAACAAGGCTATACCCTGAGGTAGCCCTTAGCTCATCTCTGCAGCATTATCTAACTGCACCCTGAGATTGCATCAGTGGGAGAATAGTTGAAGGATGTGAATATATGCACCTTTCTCTTTCAGTTGATGGTACTTCATCATTTCTCACATCTCCAGTTTTATATGCTCCTGTTCGTAGAAAATGAGCTGAAAAAAGGTTTTAATGACTGGACGGTAGATGAGAATAAGGAGGCTGTTTTATTCTGGAAGTTATAGATTGATATGTTGGAGATAAATAATACTAAAGGGGAGAATGAAATCCCAGAGGAACACTACCTGAGATTATTCGATCATTTCGATAGTAATAAGAGTTGCCATGAATTCTATCAAGCTGAGGTACCAATGGCAAAGTGGCAATGATAACTAAATAGCATGTGGGTACAGCCCACCTGCTGTGTTTAATTGTGAATTCTTTGAAATGAGTTCCATACTGTTTCTGCTTGTGTTATTTATTACTCTTAATGAATCAATGAAATGTAGAACTTCGGATTAAAAAGAACATAATCTACGCGATGCTGCGTGCTCTTTGCCTGGCTCTCTGGCAAGAGACTCCACATCTCTGTTTCCGTAGTACCCCCTTGATATGCTTTTTTCTGTCGTATTGTGCATTGCCTTCTCTGAACACAGCATCTGTCCTGTTCTTGATCTGCAAAATGATCTTGCTTTTCTTATTTAAATTCCTCCTGCACAGTTATTTTGTCTGTTGTGAATTAATCAAATTATCCAATTATCTAACTTATTTATATGTATGTGATAGGTAGGGTAGTATATTGATGGAAGAACTGAAAACTACACATGTATATGAACCACATGTTTGTCATCACTCTTTCTTCTGCTTTTATTATGGTTTATTCTCCTGTCTGTGCATAACACATGAAGTTACTTGGGGCAAGCTTATCTTTTTTCTGATGCCAAAAGTCCTGTTTAAATCTAAACAAAAATACATGTAAGGCAATTATAAGGAGAAATCCAGATGATCCAATGGGTAAAGCTGATAATTATCTTTCAATAGTGACTAGCGGCCTGAGATTTGAACTAGTGCCAGCCTGAAGTATTATGAATAGTTGGAAGGTGATGAATAAGCCATCTTTTGATAACCAGGGTTTCTTAAGTTGCTCAGAGTCGTTACGCAATGCTATGTATAGGGCTAATGAGATTCTGGCAATTGTAGAAGAACAATAATCAGAAGAAACAAGATGGTAGCCATCCTGTCACTTAAGTAATCTAACTGCAAAAATTAAAAGCCTGAGGGAGAAGATGAATTCAGACTTGGTAGTTGTCTGTATCATCTTGCTTAGAAAAATGAATACATCTTCTAGGGCCCAGTACAATAGGGAATTGCCTCCATGACTATAGGAGTGTGAAAGCTCCAATGCTTCCTTGGGCTTTGTGGCTGTAAAGGCTTATTTTGCTTTTACAGAAAGAAATTGCAATAATGATAATAATTTTTATTTTTATTTTTTTTTTGCAACTGTATTATACCTTTTTGGTAATCTGTCCTCTCTATTGCGTGTCATATCTGGGGACTCTTAAAGTTTCAGAGTATGAGTTTGTTCTTGAAGAGGGTAATCGATATTGGGTTTTATCTTTCATTCATTTTTTTTGAAATTTAGTTTGGATAAACTGAACCAATGGACTTTTTTTGCAAGACCTTGAATGTGATTCATGTGTGGTAAAATTTTGAATGCTAGAAGTGAAACCAGCCAAACAGATTTTAAACTAGAGTGACCTGTTGTGAAGTTTTGTCCCTTGGAGCACAAAATATTTTTAATCTTACAAATGAGAGTCATTATAGCCTAAAACTAGTCTGGGCCATGTAGTCAAGAATGTACGTTAGAAACAATCCTGCCCTAACAGGAAATGGCCAGAATAATCTAAAAACTGTTTCCCAACTCAAACTTCTGTAGCTTTTTGAGGGTGATAATTATGGGTGTGATATGGTGGGAAGGAGGCAATCAGTATAAATACAGATATACTGCAAGTGGCGTGATTGATGAAAATCATATGCCTTTTTCTTTGAACAATTTGATTAAATAAAGGACAGATACTTTAAAACCATATTTTACAATGTGATACTTCTTAACAAAGCTTCAGTTTAGTGCTGTGATGGAAAGGAAATAGACTGACTCACAGAAAACTGAGATCATTTCTTGGATTGCATCTGAGTGTGAAAATATAAAGTTGACATTATGGAAGCTGTGAAGTGCTTCTTACAGTGCTATAAATGAATCACTGGCATTGACAGGAAGAAATTGAATAAGTACATGATGGGAAACAAGTTCTATTATGAGAAATACTGTTTCTGCTTTAATTTTGTTTTTTATTTCTCCTTTCCCTCCCCTCTTTCCATTTCAGGGTAAATGGAAAGCTGGTGGCATTGAAGGTGATTAGATTACAAGAAGAGGAAGGAACCCCATTTACCGCTATCAGGGAAGGTATGCACTCACATTTAATGATTATACATGGGGTTTTTTTGTAATTACATTGCACTTCTCATTTCTGTGCCATGCTATAGTGAATAGCTTGAAAATTCAAATTACATGGTTATGTTCTCAGTAGAAAGCAACTTTGGTGCTTCAAAACAAAGCCTCTGGTGTGGGAGTTCTTGTTGAAGAATGCAGCACTGCCTCTGCTTTGGCTCCTGTTAGATTTACTATACAAATGAGTACTTAAGCACATGTTTAAGGTGGGTGTGAGAAGTCACTCTGGAAGATGAGGGAACTGTGTTAAGTTGGGCTTCTTCCCTGCAGGCAACACCTAAGATGAAGGTAAATGTCATTTTTCGTATACCTGCGGCACGAAGGAAAGAAAAGCGTTGCGTTTCTTGATGAAACAATGAGAAGATCAGGGAGCAAAAATACAGGTGTCTTAGAAGCTGTGTGTAGTTTGGGACTAGCTTTTGTTTGTTTTTCCTTCCCAATGGACTCTAACTTGCATAGCTTGGGAATGACTCTTATCTAGCACGGCTGGAGACGCTTGTTATGCTTTCTGATCTGCTCCTTTATCCTTCCTTGTCAGCCTCTTATGGTCCCTAGTGACAGCTGCTTTATCTGAGCCTGCCTGTGTTGAGCTCCTTTGCAGAAATTGCTGGATGTGCCTTCTCTGCATGGACCTCCTCTGTTAGAAGGTACTAAAAGTGAGCCTTGGTAGAGAAATAATAAACAATTTACGATCACACTACTGATTCACTTGTCTCTTTAGTTCACTACCAACTTCAGCTAAGACTGTTGTGGCTTTTGAGGGACCTTTTAAAACTGTGCTGACTATCTTGGCATAAATCCCGAGATGGCATGAGCCAGGGAGGTACCAGAATATCAGCCCTTAGAGGGTCCACAGAGTGGCCCTGCGTGGGAGCTGTGCGGCTTCAAGGCCATCACAGCTGCAGTCCCAGCAGCTGCAGCTCCCTTGTCCCTCATTCCTGCCTATGTTCCTGCAGGCGTCCATATGCCGTATGTCTGTCTGTACAATGAGCCCATTTTGGGGTGGACTGGACAAAAAAAATTCATGTTTCACGTGATTGACACCCTGAAATTAGAAGCCTTTAAAGTACTGTGGATTTCTGTCCAAAGGTTGTACATTTTAAAGGGGGCTCTTTCACAAAGGAGGGAAAACCACGGGTGGCCAATTTATGAAGGAATTTCAGCAGTTCTTCTGTATTGCTTTGTTTGAGTAATAATTATTGAATGATCTGACACATTTATTCATAATGATATATATTTGATCTGTGAGCTGTCTGTCCCCGCAGCTGTGCCGTGATAACAAGGTGTGCAGAGGGTTACGAGTGCAACTTTCAATATTTGTAATGCCAAGTTCAAGGCGTAACAGCCTGTGTTTCAAATATGTTTATTGTTCTCCAGGTTTTTAGTTGATATGGTACTGACTTAATAAGAAAATAGTAGATACAGCTTTCTTGTGCCTTTTTTGTGGCACTTAAAAGGTTTTGTAATGTGAGCTTGGTCTAGATGAAAGTTTATAGCATTATAACTGTCAAATACAGTATAATGTGTTTTCCTTCATAAATAGTTCGTTGTGTGAGCTCAGTATAAATAAGTATTCATTAGGAGCAAGAGCAGAGATTTTTTTCACTTGATATTTTAATAAAATTATAAAGGCACACTTGCATGAAAATACTTTTCACACTATCATTGGAGAAGTTTCCTTTTAGCTGTGACTACAGCACTGTGGTTGAAGCCAGTTAAAAATCTGGTACTTTAATATTAGTAGAACAAAGATCTTACTTAGAAAAGCTCTTAAAGTTCTTAATTAATGTAGATTTTTTAAAGTATGCGATATCTCACTGATTTTCATGGGACTATACGCATCTGTTGTATTTCTAAGTACTCATCTGGACTGGGACTAGATCCAAAGAGTATTAGGCTGAGGAGAGGGTTTTTTCTCAGCTTTTGTAAACTCTTGGTTGGGTGAGGTCAAACTCAGGTTATAGGTTGTTTATTTGAGGGGGTGGTTTTTGATAAATGTAATCCTGTCTCCTGGGTAGTGGAACTTCATTCAGATATGTAGGAGCTATTAGTAGAAATAGTCTTATATGTTTTGTATCATGTAGAAATCAGACATCCATGATGTATAAGATGGGAAGGGGAAAAAAATCTGTGTCTAGTTAGACTTTGGCTTTTCTGTTGTTTGTTTTGATTTTGTCAGAAACAAGTATTAGGGCCAGAAAAGGAAGGAAGGCTGTATTGCAAATGTAACTTTCGGAAGGTAATCTCAGTGACGTTGTGCCAGACCTGTATTATTTGACAGTAATGCTACAGCTGTGGACTTCACTAGCAGGACGTGAGGAAGCTGTTGCTTTCCTCTTAGCGTCTAATCCATCTTGGACATGCTGGGCTCTGTAATGCAGCCGTGGCTGCTCTCAGCTACATGGGTGGAAAAAAAAAAAAGAAAAAAAGAAATGCTTGTATAAACTCTTGAAGTTATCTGATAAGTTTGATATGGAAAAACAGTAAGAATGGGAAACTGTGTTAAGCAGATTTTTCTTGATCTCTGTTGGCTGACTGAGGGCTCTAGCCCTATAATTTAGACTGGGACAATTAGAACAAGGACAAATACCGCTGAAGATGAGATCATCTTCTAATTTCAGTTATCTGAGGAGTAGTGTTGCCCTAATAAAAAAAAATGCATGTATGGTATCATGAGCCAGACGTCTGTTGGAGGGCTTTTCTTTCCAAAGTCTTTCACAGTGGAGAAACCAGGCAGGTTTGGACTTTGTCTTGTTCCTTATTTTTAATTTTCCGTCAATGCAAGGCAAATTCAGGCAGAAGTCTAGTTATTTGTATATTGAAACTACTATAAGTAAATCATTTAATGTTTCTCATGGCTCCTTGAGGAAAGCAGTGAGAGAAATTAGCATT